TGAAAGATGTTTGGTATATTGGTAGAGGTTGAATTTTGATTTGTTTCTGCTTATATATTGTCCTTTTGGCTTTCTCCTGACTACAGTTCTAAATACTGTGCAAGCTGAAACTTACTGTGAGAATACAGTTATGATTAATGCAACTGGAAAATGCAGTCTTTTATTATAAATCATACTAGCAGGCAAAATGGGGCTTGGAAAGAAGGAACACTGAACTTAATGCCTTCTGTTCACACTCCTCTTCAATAAAATAAAGAAGATTAATATAAAGCAAAGCAGTATTGCTGTAGAGGGTATTGCTCTACACTCCCATGATTAATTAACTAACATTATGGATATATTTTTTCTCCATGAACTTATTGTGGGGCAGCACACATCTAACACTCTTTTAATAGAAGGGGCTATAAAACTATATTTTATTGCATTTTGGCTAACTAAAAATTTCAGTTACAGTTACTACCACATTTCCAGAACAGCTGGTCAAAACATTTCTTAAAAATGTATGGTACCCACTTTGGTTGCTTGTGCAAGAAGAAAAGAAAAGAAATCTAAATATTCCCTTCATTTGCTTCATGCATAGAAATACCAAATGATGACTTTAAAAAATCAGATGTATTACTCTGTTTATTAGTGATATATTGAATTATTTGTTGTTGTTGACTTAAAGAACTAAGAAATAAATAAGTTTTCAACACTGATGGTTCATTGAACAGAAATATCTCAAATTTCTTAACCTTAATTCCTACTCCGTTTTATGGTCTTTGGGTCTCAGAGGCCCATAACTGTTCATGCTCTATCATTTTCTTGAGTAGATAGAACAATCATTGATTTACATACCATATATACCGTATTTTTCGCTCTATAACACGCACCAGACCATAACATGCATGTAGTTTTTAGAAGAGGAAAACAAGAAAAAAAATATTCTAAACGAAATAGTGGATATATGATTTTTGTGGTTCATGCTGTGGCCACAGACATGTGATCTGACAGTGAGTTTGGAGTAGCCCAATGCAAAAATCCTGAGGATCCATGTGGATCCATGCTTTGTAACCACGGAGGAGGGAAGGAAGGGGAACCATGGATCCTCTGCTCACGACTGCAGCAGATCCCCCCCGCCACCCGCAGGCATTCGCTCCATAACACGCACAGACATTTCCCCTTACTTTCTAGGAGGAAAAAAGTGAGTGTTATGGTGCAAAAAATACGGTAGTTTCTGATACTCCCACTTAATCCCTGGCTCAGCCCTGCATTTAAGTAAAGTTCCATTAAAGGGCAAGTTATAACTTGCTTGATTCATTTTTGCTGCCTGGAATGGGGTCTCTATTAGTTATTCTACCTTAGGCACCACAGTTTCTTGGAGGAGACCTGTTTAAGCCTAACAAAATCTACATAAAGTTCCTAAGTCCTGAAAGTATTGAAAGGCTAGGTTCTGCAGTTACAAAGTATGAAAGTGACTCTGGTATAAGAATAAAATGAAATTTTAATGTAGCTTTCTCTCTACCCATGGTGTCTCATATATGGCACACCTGCAAGTGCAATAGCGACCTCGAGGGCTTGCCCAGGTTGTCCATGAAGCCCCCACTGTTTTGTCAGAAATAGGATGTTAAAAGACCATCTCTTTCCCTCTTCCTATTTCCACTTCCTCTTTTCAGCACTCAGATCAGCAGGCAAACAGCTGAACACAAAGTGGAGTGACAATGAGAACAGGGGTTGGTGGAAAGATAAAGCCTCCTTTGGGGTTGCTTGGGACTATTGTTGTACCTACAGAACTCCAAGTTTTTGGTGTGTGTGTGTATTTGAACTTGAAACATTGCAGCCAACCTGACCTTACTTGTGACTCATCAAGCCACACATAGCACACTAGGTCACCAGAGACTCAATACAACTGGTTTTTGCAAAATTATGGTGGGGTGAGGAATTGGCAAGCACCTATCAGACCAAACTTCATTTGGCTTTGTAAATAACTTTCAAAGGTCTGATTTAAGCAAAGTTGGCTAAACACTAAAAGCACAGATGGGGAACCTCAGACCCAGAGGCCAACTGTGACCCTCCAGGCCTCTCTGTCTAGCCCTTTGGACTCTCCCCAAGCCATACCCCTTATTGGCTCTGCTTTGCAACCTTCTTGAGTGTGTCTGGTTAGAACATGTCCTTAAACTTTGATAATGCCTCTAAGTTGTTGAGCGGTGGGATAGAGTGGTGTGTGTTTGCGTGTGTATAGAATCTAGCCTGCTGCACAGAGGTAAAAGTAAAAATTTTTGCTCCACACACTTTTCCCTCTGGTCCTGCCCACCACTGGCCTATAGTCCCAAGAAAGTTGCCGAGATGAGAATGTGGAACTCAGGCTAATCCATGTGAGATCCAAGGTGTCCCTTTTTTCTTCATAATGATTAAGAAGATTGAAACACCGTTGATAGTTTCTGATAAGGAATCATCCTTTCTATAGTCTTGTTGTCCAGGAGAAAACAAGCATCAGCCATCATGGCTGTGTTTCTCCATTCTTTAGCTTCACATAGAGTATGTGGAAGAAAAGATGCTGTAGAATAGCCCTCCATCACTGCCTGAAATATCCAACAGCATGAATTGGTGAAGGCTCCCCACCTCCTGGCTTTGTTAATGAGACACCTGCATTTCTGATACACCTGTGTCCCCTTTGGTGACAGTGCCCGAGAACCAAGTCATGAGACCTAGTCGTATTCTACATTAATGAAGGATATATTAGTTTCCTCTGTTTCTGGACATGACAGATCATACTCCCCACCCCCTTCATGGATTCAGAAACTGAGAACTGTTAAGTGAAATTTTAAACAAAAGGGAAGAAGGATCAAGGTCAAATAGGAAGAACAGTTTTGTGTGTGGATCACTTGTCTATGGGCAGAATATGTACATGTGTAGCCTTAGAAGTCCTGCTTTCAAGTTATCAAACCTGTCTTCTTTACAGTTCCTTTTTGCAGTCCCTCTGCCTATGAGTAGCAGTGGTCAGCGGATGGAAGAAGCAGACTGCAAACTAATAGATGCTTGCTAGGGGATCCTAACACTGACTCATTGGAAGGCAGCAACCTGACAAAGTGCAGCCACAAAACCACAGGAGGAAGTGGTTTTTACCTGCTATTTAAAAAGAGAAAATTACTCCTAGCAGGTATTAATAGATCCTAACTTTCACCAATTTTCAGTTCAGCGCTGAGATTTTTCTGCTCTTTCAAAAAGCTGACTGACAGATAACACCATATACAGAGTGTCCTGCATTTTAAAAGCATTCATTAGTCAGCTGTAACATCCAGTGGAAAATAAATATTTATTGCAGAGGAGTGAGCAAACAAGCTACTTTTAAGAAGAGTGGAGCATTCCTAGCAGTATGCAGCTACATCCAGACAAAACATGAAATTTTTGCATCAGTATGCAACTTCCAGAATGCAGCAATATTCGTCTCAGTTAGTGATTGGCATGAGGACAATGCTGGGGTGAATATGATTTACCACAAAGTAATGTATGCTGTCGTTATGGGCAATACACAATAACTGGTAGGCTCCCCATAAATAGTATTTGCACAATTCAAACTCCACCACATTGGAGATCTGATAGTGCTCCTAATAAAAGTTTACAAAAATGTGTGGAGGACATCCAGGAATTGATTATTTTGTCTGGTTCAAAGGATGACTGCATGCGACAAGTCTTTTATTCCACTTGACTTGCTGAACATGGCAAGACAAAGAGCCTGTTACTGACACTGCATATTTATCTGTGAGATATGGCCCCCCCCCCCCGAACAATCAAACCACATGCAGCATGGGGCTGGATGCTGACAGTGAGGTCTAAAGCCACCTTGGCTCATGGAACTAGTTTCATGGTTGTTTAGTTCGATACTTCAAACAGATGCCTCCTTAGAAGATGTAATATGGTTTATCGCGAACACAACACACATGTTTACTCATTTATATAAATTTATATTTATGTGGCAATAGATACTGTTAGTACAGCAACAGAATTTACTGCATAGGCCCAGCAGCCAGGAGACCTTGGAAATGTAGTTCATGGAATTTGGGTTGTGTCATGTTACAGTAGTTGTCATCTGGCTAACTTGGCTGCAGTGTGGCCTTGGACATAATGCTGAGATGTCAAACCTCCCTTTTCAAGTGGAGAGGTAGGAGCCCATGTACCACTTGATGAGATGAGATCACTAGAAAGCGCTGCATGAGCTAAGCCATGGTTTCGCTTGGTGAGCTGTCCAAACTCAGAATCATGATTTAGCTCTCTTCAGGCAAGGTTTTTCCTGTGTTTTACAGCTTGTGGTTTGTGTGAGAGAGCTAAACAGTGACCGAAGGTTTGGACGACATGCTAAGCCAAACAAAGGCTTAGCTCATCGCAGCACAACAGCAAAATGGGGAGAAGCAAAGAGGCCACATTATCCTTTTGGGGAGTCCACACATTTATTCACTTGCACTAAGCTATGATTTAGCTTGGCATTACATGTAAATGAGGACAATGTCTAGTTTGTCCCTCAGATGTTAACAGCCAGCAGATCATATCCACAGTAGTATTGGATACAAATTTCTTAAAAGTCGCAAAGAATAAAACTATTAGGAAGAGTACAACTTTACTTTTTAAATCTTAATTAGTATTTACTGCCTCTTCATTTTTGGCAAACTTTTGTTCAAACATTTTCATTCAAATTGCAGAATGGATGGCAATAATCAAAATGTCCATTGCCTTGTTGATCATGAGAAGATTTTTGGGTTGCCATGGTGATATTTGAGTGGCAATATAAAAATAAGTAAGTGCTAATGAGAATAATTAATAATAATAATAATAATAAATTTTATTTATATCCCGCCCTCCCCAGCCGAAGCCGGGCTCAGGGCGGCTAACAACAATAAAACAGTACAAAAGTACAGTACAATTAAAACTTCATTGAGAATAGATTGCAGAATAAAACTGTAGACTTCTGTATAATGGGCACTTTAAAATGTCATTTAAATTTGCTTATTGGTATACAGTACTGAGTGGAAGACAGGAGTGCCTGGCGTGCTCTGGTCCATGGGGTCACGAAGAGTCGGACACGACTAAACGACTAAACAACAACAACAACATACAGTACTGAAATATGTGAGATTTTGTTGTTAATTTGCTGTGATTAGCATGATAACATTTTAAACTTTTATGCAATTGCTTCCTAACATGCTTGCTGTTGTTGTTTAGTCGTTTCATCATGTCCGACTCTTCATGACCCCATGGACCAGACACGTCAGGCACTCCTGTATTCCACGGCCTCCCGCAGTTTGGTCAAACTCATGGTGGTAGCTTCGAGAACACTATCCAACCATCTCGTCTTCTGTCGTCCCCTTCTCCTTGTGCCCTCCATCTTTCCCAACATCAGGGTCTTTTCCAGGGAGTCTTCTCTTCTCATGAGGTGGCCAAAGTATTGGAGCCTCAGCTTCAGGATCTGTCCTTCCAGTGAGCACTCAGGGCTGATTTCCTTCAGAATGGATAGGTTTGATCTTCTTGCAGTCCATTGGACTCTCAAGAGTCTCCTCCAGCTGTTCATCTAAACACTTTGCTTTATGGGACATCACAAGAACCCTGCTGAATCAGACCACAGGTCTATCAAGTCTAGCACCTTGTGTCCTCATAAACCGTATGGGAATTCAGCCTCAACTTTCTCTTGAACTATGGGATTTTCCATTCTAAGGACATACTAGATGTGTATCTTAACTTGGATTTGATCTATTAAATTTATATCCTACCTTTCCTCTGAGGAGCTTGAAGCATAGTGCTTTTTCCTGCTGGTTTTATTCAAACAGCAACTCTGAGAAAGAGCGACTGGCCCAGGGTCACCCACTGAGTTTCATTGCCAAGTGGGGATTTGAGCCTGCAGTCTTAGTCTGATATGCCATGCAGCCTCTTCAAGGATTAGGATTTCTTTTGTCAGCCTTCCTTCTGATATGGAGATGACATGTAAGATGTTGCTTAAAATCAATTTCCTTGAAATAACTTTCTGTTTAAATAAAATGAAATTTATTACTATCATTTGTAATTTGTAAAAATTCTATTCAAGTAGAATGCAACTCCTTGTTTTAATCAACCATGTCTTTTCTAATTTATTCTTTCATGGCTACATGAAAATATCAACTTAAAAAAAAAATATTATAGTAGGTCAGCTGTGGAGAGTGACACTATCTTCTTGTTCTGGATGTTTTATCATCATCAGTCATCAATCTTTATTATGGTCTAGAGACCCAATAAATCGTTGCAATGCACAATTCAGACAGCCTACCTCCAGGTTAAACAAGCATTTTGTTCAGACGTAAAGATAGGGATTATTGGTTCTTGCAACCACCGATAAAAACTTTGCCACTGCTAATGTTCTAGCATTTGTCCGGTCTTCCAATAGGAACCTAACATAGTGAGCCTCTGATTTTCCCGGGAAAGGTACCAGCAAGGGTAATATCAGTTCAACCCTGGCTTGCTCATATTTTACACAGTGCAGCAAAATATGTTTTATAGAATCGATGTCTTGAGCACACGAGCAAAGTCTGTCCTGGTAGGGAACTCCTCTTCACCTGCCATCCAACACTGCAGAAGGAAAGACATTTACACTGGCTTTGGTGAATAACCTTCGATAATTTGGAACTGTCAGGTTTTTAAAGACATGCCCATATTGTACTCCTACTGCCAACGGACTGCGTTTGATCGAGATCGCAAGTCACTGTGTGTATTATCCTATAATCTTTGCTTTAATGTCTTTAGAGCACCTTTATAACCCAGGTAATTTTTGGGGGGTGTGTGACAGACCAATAGAGGTGGCATTTCTAGCCGTGGTTTTCTGCCATTTGCTGACAAACTCCTCATTGGTCAGGTGTTCGTACAAACCCTTCCCTAGATCAAACACTCAAATCCTGAGCCATTGTTTTAGGGCAGCAGATGTTTTATGGGTTCAGTGTCGAGAAATTTATTTTTTCACAGTTACCTTAAAGCTATACAGAGAAAAGCTGTGTTTGGAAACCATGTATTGGATTCTTAAGCCCGTTATTTAGTCAAGATGTGCATGAGCCTTTTACCCATCTATGTAGTCCATTTCATCATCCCATTAGATGCAATTAAACAGAAAGTTTCTAAATAGCCATGCTTCCTCATCCATCTTAACGGGGGAACCAGGGTTATGAGCCTTAGAATAAGCCAGGATCTCAAACCCCACAGTTCTGAAGCTGATTTAAATTCCTGGCTTGTTTCAAAGTTAGTATCCATAGGTTTTTGGCTTGAATGAAGTGGGAAGCTATGGTTGAGTTAGCATTTCTGGTTTAATCACAGCTTGCTTGAAGGCAGTAGTGAAGGGGTTCAGTACACAAGCAACTTGAGATTTCTTGTAATTAGTGGTATATAAATACCTTTATAAATAAATATAAACAAATAAAAACTTGTGCATGCTTAGAATAATAGAATTGTGGAGTTGGAAGGGATCAAGAGGGTCATCTAGTCCAACCCACTTCAATGCCGGAATCTTTTTGTGGGGCTCAAACCCAGAGCCCTGAGATTAAAAGTCTTATTCTCTACTAACTGAGCTATCCAATGGAGGCTTCATTTTAATAAACTGACATATAACTGTCCAAACAGGGTCATAGGGATTAGCTGGTCTTCCAGTATAAGAGGAAAGCTAATTTATAGACCATTCACCTTTCTAACAGAACTGATTTCTATCTACTTTTCCACCTTCTGGTACTTATTGAAGTTGTAATTCATAGCTAATGACTCGTGCATAGTGGTTTTCCTTTTCTTTTTTCTTTAATCTCATTGTTGAGTTTGAGTATTTTACAAATATATATAGGATTAAACTGTGTTATGTTAATTGTATTCAGTGAACACGATGAATATTTCTACTAAAGTGTGATCAGAGTGCACATGAATTTAAACATCTGCTAATTTTAGGAAATGTTAACGTTCAGGAACTTTTTCAAGTGTAGAATTTACTTGATATTTCTAGAATATATTTGAAAGACTATTTAGTGAAACTTAATTTTGTTTAGAGTTCAGTGCTCTATGTTTTCAGTACTTGTGCTCTCAAGTATACATACCGTACTTTTTCTGGAAAGGCCATTAATACAACAATAGGTGAAAACACAATATAAGAAATTGTCGTTAGTGTTGCATGATCTGCATCAGGGCCATCCAGTTCCCCGTTGGTCACATCTGGCACTTGAAAACTGTACCAAATTGTAATCAATGCATGCTTTTTTAAAAAAAATGATCAAGGTAAAGAAGCAAAGACCCTTTGTATTTCATATACATTTGTAGTGTTTCTATTTCACAAATTGGAAAAACAAGCAAGCATTGCCATTCTGCCTCTTAGGTGAAGTTTCATACAACAACTCAACTTCTATTTATTTTTTATTCTGGATCCATAATTTCTGGATTATAAATATTTATAGGCTAGTATTCTGTGAATCTGTTTTTTTTTTTTTAAAGCAATTTATTGGGTTTTACAATAAGAATAAATGTAATAAACAATATAGCATTCGTCTTAACATAATTTCACATTTTCTTTGGACTTCCTCACATCTCCCACTCCCACCTTCATCATTATAACATTTTGTCAGCAATTTATCATCTTATTTAAATTCTTATATCTCTTCGATATTTCATAATCTTAAAGTTCTCATAAAGAGTTAAACTTTCACAATTTTTCTTATTTCCTTAAAAATTTCTAAGTTAAGTGGTGCTCAGTTATTTAGTCCAGCATCTTATTCAGCATTCAGTCAAATCACAATGTTTTTGTAGATAGTTCTTAAATTTCTTCCAATCCTCCTCGATTCTCTCTTCTCCCAGGTCACGGATTCTGCCAGTCATTTCAGCCAGTTGCATATAGTCTATCAGTTGCATCTGCCATTCTTCCAGTGTGGGTAGATCTTGGGTTTTCCAATGTTTTGCGAGTAGTATCCTTGCTGCTGTTGTTGCATACATAAAAATGTCTGGTCCTTCTTTGCCACCCCTTGGCTGACAATACCCAAAAGGAAAGCCTCTGGTTTCTTAGTGAAAGTATATTTAAATACCTTTTTCAATTCATTATAGATCATTTCCCAGAACGCCTTCACTTTAGGGCATGTCCACCAGAGGTGAAAGAACGTTCCTTCACACTCTTTGCATTTCCAGCACTTATTGTCAGACAGGTGGTAAATTTTTGCAAGTTTGACTGGGGTCATATACCATCTATAAATCATTTTCATTACATTTTCTTTCAAAGCATTACATGCAGTAAATTTCAATCCATTACTCCACAGCCTTTCCCAGTCCTCAAACATAATATTATACCCGATATCCTGTGCCCACCTTATCATAGCCGATTTAACCATTTCATCCTGTGTGTTCCATTCCAACAGCAAGTTATACATCCTTGAAAGTATCTTAGTCTTTGGTTCTAACAATTCTGTTTCTAATTTCGATTTCTCCACCTGGAACCCTAGTTTCTTATCACTTTTAAAAACTTCTTTAATCTGAGCATAGTGTAACCAATCTCGCACTTTGTCTTTCATTTTCTCCAAGCTCTGCAATTTCCAATTGTCTCCATCTTTTCTAGTATTTCCCAATATTTTGGCCATTTGGCCTCCATATTGGGTCTTTTTCGAGCCTTAGCTTCCAAAGGTGAAAGCCACCTTGGTGTTTTATTTTCCAGCAAGTCTTTATATTTTGTCCAGACATTAAACAGTGATTTTCTAACAATATGGTTCTTAAAGGCCTTATTTGCTTTAACTTTGTCATACCATAAATATGCATGCCATCCAAAAACATTGTTAAACCCCTCCAAATCTAACACATCAGTGTCTTCAAGAAGTAGCCAGTCTTTTAGCCAGCAGAACGCTGCGGCTTCATAGTACAACTTTAAGTCCGGCAGGGCAAAGCCCCTCTTTGTTTAGCATCGGTTAGTATCTTAAACTTAATTCTGGGCTTTTGCCCTGCCAGACAAACTTCGAAATGTCTCTCTGCCACTTCTGAAAGCACTCCATTTTGTCCAATACCTGCAGTGTTTGAAATAAAAACAACATTCTTGGCAATACATTCATCTTAATCGCAGCAATTCGGCCTAACAAAGAAAGTTTCAATTTTGACCAACTGTCTAAGTCCCTCTTAATTTCTGTCCAACATTTTTCATAATTATCCTTAAATAGACTTAGATTTTTGCTGTTATGTTTACCCCTAGGTATTTTACTTTTTAACCACATTAAGTTCCGTCTCATTCTGAAACCGTTCTGACTCTGTCTCAGTCAGATTTTTCCCCAAAACCTTAGTTTTCTGTTTGTTTAATTTAAATCCCGCCACCCGACCAAAATCATTAATCAATTGTAATACTCTTTTCGTACTAGGCTCTGGCTTCTGCAAGGTCAAAACCAGGTCATCTGCAAAAGCTTTTAATTTATATTGTTTCTGACCAACCTGAATTCCTTCCACCAGCTGGTCCCCTCTAATCATGTTCAATAGCACTTCCAGGACCGAAATAAATAACAAAGGGAAATAGGGCAACCTTGTCGTGTCCCTTTTTCAATTTTGAACTCTTCTGTAACCACATTATTAACTATCAGTTTTGCTTTCTGTTCTGAATATATCGCCTCGATCCCATTCTCAAAACCCCGTCCCACTCCCATCTCTTTTAAGTTTCCCATCATAAATTTCCAAGAAATGTTATCAAAGGCCTTCTCCGCATCTATAAAAATTAAAACAGCTTTTGTATTTATGTCAGTTTGGAGAAGTTCCAAAATATCAATAATGTTCCTTGTGTTAGCAAACAAATGTCTACCTGGGAGAAAACCGGCCTGGTCCTTATGAATTACTTCATTTAAAACTTTTTAAAATCTACTTGCCAAAATATCTGCAAATATTTTGTAATCCACATTTAAAAGGGAGATGGGACGGTAGTTCTTCAGTTGTGTCTTTTCAGTTTCTGACTTTGGTATCAATGTGATAAACGCTTCCTTCCACGAATCCGGTGCCCTCTTCCCCTCCATAATTTCATTGCTAACCTCCATCAAAGGTTGTATCAAATAGTCTTTTAGTATCTTGTAATACTTGGAGGTCAGCCCGTCTGGCCCTGGAGATTTGCCAAGTTGCATGTTCTGAATAGCTTGTTCAATCTCCTGTCGTGTTATTTTAGAGTTCAGGATTGTCCTATTTTCTTGTGACAGTTTAGATAATCCATTTTTGCCAAAAATTGTTTAATCTCAACTTCGTCTTGCGACCCTTGGGTATATAATTTTTAAAATATCTCTGGAAACACTTTCTAATGTCCACTGGATTCTGAATGTTTCTTCCATCAACCTCTAAATTTGTAACCGTGTTTAATCTTTGTCTTCTCTTCAACTGCCAGGATAGCAGTTTTCCACATTTATTCGCCGACTCAAACGTTTTTGTTTCATTAATTTGATCTTCCATTCAATTTCCTGATTTATCAATTTAGAATACTGTGTTTGGTACAGTTTAATTTCTCTCAGAGTTGGCTGTGACTTTGGATTCACTCTTAATTTCTTCTCTAATTCTTTTATTTTATCCAAAATCTTGTCTTTTTCTCATTTTGTGTTTTTTCTTTACTACATTCTGTTGTATCAGGAATCCCCTCATAACAGCTTTGCTTGCGTCCCAGACGATTCTTTTTCCACCGAATTGTTCATATTTATCTCAAAATAATCTTTCAAAACTTTTTGGGCCTTCTTGGTAATTTCCTGATCTCTAAACAAATTGTCATTCATCTTCCATCTAAAGGATCCAGTTGGTAGTAATGTCATGTCCATCTTTACTGCGTTGTGGTCAGAGCAGGTCTTTGGGCAGATTTCCACTTTTCTAACCCTAGGTGCCAGGCCTCTAGAGATCCATATTTGGTCGATTCTTGTCCAGGTCAGTTGGGCTTCAGAAAAGAATGTTCCTTCTCTACCTAGTGGGTTCTTTGTTCTCCAAATGTCGATCAAGTCCATATTGTCAGTCATTTCAAAAAAGTTTTAGGTAGTCTGCCATCTTTTGTGATGTTTTGACTTTGCGACTTGTCCATGTTAGTTGACACGACCCCGTTCATGTCTCCCATCATTATGATGTTGTTGTAATCCAGATGATCCAGCATTGTCCCCTGCAACTTCTTGTAAAATTCCGATTTCCCTTCATTAGGCGCATAGATTCCTAATATCAGCAGTTTCTCTCCTTGATATTGTATCTCAATAGCCAAAATCCTTCCATGCTCATCTTTAAATAGAAATTTAGGTGACAGGCTCTCTTTTGCATATATCACCACTCCTCTCTTCTTCACTTTATCCGACGAAATAAATTCCTGGCCCAATCTTTTATTTATTAACACTTTTCTGTGGAGCCTCGTCACATGTGTTTCTTGTAAGCAAATAATGTCCAATTGTTCTTTTTTAATATATGAAATATTTTCTTCCTTTTCTCCGGAATATTGCAACCATTAATATTCCAGCTCAACAGTTGCAGAGACATCCTGGATCTATCTGGTTATTTCTCCTGGGGTGGTGTCTTCTCTTGATCTTCAAGTTCCCGAGGTGGAGGTATTGATGCTGGCTTTGCCTCAGGCCCGGAAGGTAGTTCA